GCGTTAACTTACAAGTTAATAAATTCATTTGTGAATTACCTTTTGATTATGTAGGTATTTCATGCTCTCATTTAACTGAGTTCCTGGCCCTTGAGTAGTTGAATATGTGATTATATGGGCTACTATCCTTTTTTTGTCGTTATTTATGTGCTTGCTGGGGCTCCACTTGTACTTGTAACTGAATATGCTCTTTTAGTCCACTGTAATTAAGATGAAGGCACACTCGATCTTTGTAGATGAAGAACCTGCTTTTGATGCTTTGCAAGCTCTAGCTGATTTGTCACTCATGCTGCCAATGGAAAATGAAGATGGTACGTAATACATGTCTACCTTTCAATTTAAACAAAACCTGCATGGGCTAAAATTTACTGCATATATCTCGATTTATTTCAGTTGTTACTTTCTCACGCAACAGCTCGAACATGCATTATTATCAACTATTTTCCGATTTATCAGAGTCAAGGGTGCTGCTTAAAGAAGAACCTGATGATCTTGTTGATGAGTATGTGCCATTAGAATCCCAGCCAGCAAACCAGCCCAGAGAAAAACGCAAATCTACAGGTGTAAAAATGAAAGGGCATCTATCAAGTTTTGGAGCTGCTTCCAGCAAAAGATCAAAACCTGGAAAAAGTTCAGCTTTAGATGCTTTCTCTATTCCCGAAGAAAACCAGGATTCTATTCAATCCAACACGAATAAAGTAAGGAGAAAACAGAAGGTGCAAGTGTCTAAGGTGAGAAGTAATATATTATCATTTTTGTTGTTTATCATCATCATGAATATGATGGTAGCTTACTTGAATGTGTGTGTGTGTGTGTGTGTGTGTGCAGAATGCAAAACCTGAATCTCATGGTGATATTCTTGTTAGTGGATCTCCGAGAACCGAAGTACTTCACTCTTTTGTCGTTTATGTTATTATTGATGTTGTTATGTGAAATCTAACAACGATAATCGCAAAGATTAAGTAAATGGAAAGCTGAAAATTAGCTTAACTTTTGTATTCGAAGTCGGGTTTTAGTACAAGAGGTCGGTTTTATCTGTAACCGAGTTGTCTTATGAGTGCATTTAATGTGTCGGAAAAACGATCCTCATACAGGAATAAATGCTGCTATTTATAGTAATTTATGGCTCGTCTTTTGAGGCTGGTTCAGCGGCATTAAATGTGATTTAATGGCCTAGGGGCAGCTAGCTTGCACATGGTCCCACAAATAATGATGAAGGCATGGGCGGCTGACTGACAGGCATTCCATCTCTCTTATCCAGCCATGATCTCGGTTCTTCATGTAGGTCGGTCCTCGTTCCATTGAAGAGGTCGATTCTCATGTCGGTTCATGTCGAGTTCATGTTGAGTTCCCGAAATTATTCTGCCAAGTCAGTTTTTCTTCTTATCTTTAACATTCAGCTAGGCCTTATGATAGATCTCCAACGTGGCGTCCTCTGATTAGGCTAATCAAGTCGGTTATCAACATAGAAGCTTCCGAAATTAGAAGGCACACTAGTAGCGATGACTTCTTATGTTGTCATCATTCTTTAAGCTGACCTGACATACTTAACGTGAAAATCGAATCGAACTGATCTCAATCAATGTCCTCCAGTGTGAAGCGATGTGTGGGTTACGACGGTTATGCCGGTTACAAAAGGGCACGCCTATCTTTAATGCGTACAACGGATTTGAGAAACGATTTTTATTTCAAACGGTGGTTTCATACGTGTCAGTTTTTGATTGGACCAACAATTTTAGTGAAAAACGCCGGTTCTTTAACGGGTATCGAAAATTCCCTATAAATATAGGGTCTCTTCTCATTTCAGGGTTTTACCTTCACAATGTTCAAATTCTCGAATTTTTGAACTTCCTTTACTTGTTTTCGTGCTTTCAAAGTACTCAAGTGATTTCTGTGACTTCCATATGTTAATCATCGGTAAGATGTTACTTCATTACTTTCCTCTTTTGCAATTTTAATTCAAAACTTCTTCGACTCGCAACGAAATGGCTTCGACAAGTGCAGAGCAAGTGGCATCTAGCAGCAGTCGGACGGTGTCTGAGGAAAGCTTAGATATAGAGTCGACGGCGGAGTATTATCGATGGGACCCACGCTTCTTCGAGCGTCTCGTGATAGAATGGGGGGACACGGAGGGAGACGCGGAGGTCGAGGTGGCTAAGGCCACTCCAAGAGGATACTGAAGGCGGCCTGCGGCAGTGGTCGGATATCGACGTGGAGTTTCTTGGTGAACCTTGGTGAACCAAGTGTTTTGCCGATATGGTTTGATATACTTCTCACTCCTTTTCTTGTAGGTCGCTTTCTTGAGTTCGGCCTGGGTGCGCAGCTTATCGGCCTGGTCAAGGTTTACCCTTAAGTTTTTCGAGTTGGACTCCTCGTCGAAGCTGCAAACCCGATATGGTGGGGCTCCGAGTTCGACATGGACCATGGTTTCTGATCTGTAAGCCAGTGCCCTGTCGATAACTGAGTTGTCTTTCATATATGCCCACAAAACATGGGGCAACTCTTCGGGCCAGGTCCTTTTGTGGCATCAAGCCAAAGCTTGGACCATTCTTGGTTATTTTGTTTACGACTTCGACTTGACTGTTTGATTGAGGATGGTATGGAGAGGAGAAGAAATGATCCCATACTCTTCGCAATGTGCTTCGAGCTTCTTTCCTTCGAGCTGTCGACCGTTGTCGGTTATGATGGAATTGGACACTCCAAATCAACTTCCAAATGAAGTCAATCATTTTCTGCTCGGTGATCGCTGTCAGTGATTCTGTCTCTACCCATTTTGTAAAATAATTCACGGCCACCACGGCAAACTTGACTCCTCTTTTACCTGTTGGTAAAGATTCGATCAAGTCGATCCTCCACCTGGTGAAAGGTTAGGGGCTGAAGACCGACTTTAGAGGCTCGGGTGACTGGTTGACGTTGGGTGCGAAGATTTGACACTTGTAACATTTCCTCACCCAACATGCAACATTTTTCTTCAATGTTGGCCAGTAGTATCCTTGCCTTAGAATTTTATATGCCAACGCTTGCCCGCCCGAGTGACTTTCGAATATGCCGTTGTGGACTTCCTCTAACACGTATCGAGACTTCTGTTCAGTCAGGCACTTAAGCAACGGTGTCGAGTATCCTCTTTTGTATAGCGTATCGTTATTCAGAGTGAAATGAACTGCTCGGGTCCTCAGGGATCGAGCATCCTTGGGGTCTTGTGGCAGGGCCTCGTTTTCCAGGTACTAGATTATGGGATCCATCCAAGTCGGATTTTTACATATTAACTTAACTCGGCGTTCATTATTTGATTGACCGAGGTTGACGGTCATTCCTGTCGCCCGACTCAGACGTACTCTACGTTCTTCATATCTTTACTCGATGCGATAGGGCGCCTGCCTGGATGTTCGAGTTTCACGTGATGTGCTCGACTTGTGCTCTGAACTTGGACAATTTTCTCTTTGATAATGCCGAATATGGCATCTGGCGGGGCTCCTTTACTTCAAAACCTCCAAGTATTTGATGGACTCTGCAAGGTCATATCCGGACAAAGGTGCTTCGTACACGACCAAGTTGTTAAAGTTAGTGGTTGGAAAAAAAATTGGACTGAATGGCAAAATAATCTCTTCTCAGAGTCTACGAGAACGATTCCCCCTCCAACTCGGTTTGTCGTCGAGGATCCATCAACGTACATGACCCACAACTGATCGTCATTCATTTCTTCTACTTCTGGTGTGAACTCCACGATGAAATCAGGGAGTACCTGCCCTTTGATGGCTGTTCGGGGCTTGTAGTGGATGTCGAATTGCCCCAGCTTGACGACCCACCTCACCATTCGTCCCGAGGTGTTGGGTCGGTGTAAAATTTGCCTCAATGGATATGTGGTGAGCACTGTCACCGGATATTATCTAGTTTTCGGGCTGCCGTGACGAGTGCGAAGGCTAGTTTCGCCATGGGTGGATATTTCAGATCAACATCTTGTAGGGTCGTAGTACACATGGAAGTGTTGTGAATACTCCTCTTGGATGAGGACGACACTGAGAGCCGAGCTACTCACCCCTAAGTATAAGTATAACATCTTGTTCGGCTTTGGTTTTTGCAACGTCGGCGGGTGCGACAATGTTTTCTTGATGCTGGTGCCTTATGACAATCCTCCGTCCATTCGACTTGCTTTCGTTAATCGCGTCGAAGAAAGACGTATCAGTCGGTTGAATTTGAAATGAACAGGCTTAGAGCCGCAAGTCAGTTGGTCAAGCCTTGAACTTCTTTGATCGACGTCAGCAGCTTCAAGTCGATGATGGCCTTTATCTTGCTTGGGTTGGCGTTGATTCCTCTTTCACTGACCGTATCATAAAAATTTACCCGATCTTACCCAAAATGTACATTTTTTCGAATTTAACAACATAGTGTAGTCGCGCAAAATAATAAACATTTCATCCAAATGTGTTACATGGTCAGGAGCGTGTACGGATTTTACAAGCATGTCATCCACGTACACCTCCATTGTTCTTTCTATCAATCTAGAAAACATTTTATTCACTAGCCTTTGATTGGTGGGCCCAACATTCTTCAATCCGAATGGCATCATCCTGTAACACGCAGACTGAAACCATATTTCCCGACGAGACAACACCTGGCCGAAGTGGTCGTCTGCAGCGGCAGAGAGCAACGCCGGTGTGGCGAAAGCCATTTGCTTCAGCCATACGAGCCTTGCGCGTCCAACCGAGCCTCCCCTGTCCTATATTTATTAATACCTGAAGCAGGTATTTTGGCAACATCTAGCAGCATTATTTTTGGCCGAAATTATATGTTGCAATATGCTTATTTTCAGCCTTGAAGAGCTGGTTTTGCATTCGTGAATATTTGAGATAAGAGGAGATTGATTTATGTGAATTTAGGCCTTGTTTTCTATAAGTTGCTGAGCCTTGCTTATGAACTGTGTATTCTGCCGTTTTTGTGTTTTATCTCAGGGGAGTAAAGGTTCATTTTGATGCCTAAGTATTGTGCTAAGAATTTGATGTAGAACGTGTGCTTGGGATGCTTGAGATACTCTCTCAAGACTTGTAAATAAGAGATACTCTCTCTTCAAGAAAAGAACAATAATTTTTATTTCAACGCCGAATAAATCACATCTCATCATTCTTATCATATAAATAGAGAAAGAGTCCTACTCTTGCTTAACAAGTGCAAGAGGATTATTTATTTCCTAAACTAGGCATGATAATTAAGGATATCAAATAAATAACAAAAGGAAATAAAATAACAAAAGATGATGGAAATAATAATACTAAATCTTGAGCCGGTCGAACTTGTCTAGATACGCTAAAGCGGCCTCGTCGTCATCATTCCCCCCCTGTTGAGAAAGATTCGGCCTCGAATCGGAAGCGGCCTCGTCATCATCCGAGTTATCACCAGAATAAGGCACAAAATGCTTGACGTTGAAAACGTCAGAAGTGCGAAGTTGAGAGGGAAGACGCAAACGATAAGCATTAGAATTAATTTTCTCGATTACCTCAACAGGACCAACCTTCCGGGCTGATAACTTGTTGTACTCATGGGCAGTGAAACGACCCTTAGTCAACACGGCCCACACAAAATTGCCGACGTCAAACTCGACGTGACGACGTCGCACGTCTGCTCGCCTTTTGTATGCCTCTGTCGTAGCCTCCAAGCGAGCCCGAGTCGTCTCATGAATGGCACGTAAATCACTGATAATGTCGGCCACACGCCGATCACTCGAGCCCACCGCAGGGAGGGTCAATAAATCCGACGGGCCGTGAGGCACCACCCCATAAATCGTCTCAAACGGCGAAAGGCCGGTCGCACGACTCACTGCCGAGTTATGTGCAAACTCAGCCTGACTCAGTCTTTGGTCCCAACTACGAAGGTTGTCACCCACCAAGCAA